GCCACTCTTGTGTTGGGTTGGGCCGGGCCAGCTCTCCCCCCACTCCACGTTGGGCCCACTGCTCCCCCCACCGCTGCTGTGTCGGCTCTGCAGGTAGTAATGACCAAAGGGGGGAAGGGTGGGCTGAGGCCAACGCTGGTGGCCTTGGCCACCTGCGGCGTCCCAACCCCGCTCTCCCCCACGCTGCTGCTGCCACCTCCAAGGAGCAAGGGTGGGGTGCGGGGCCAGCTCTGGATCCGGCTGCTTTGGATGGCAGTGATCCGATCCGGAGCTCTGGACTGGGTTTTCACCTCGATCTGGATGAAGCGGCTCCAAAACTTCGGAGCCACCTTGGAGATCCAGCCATAGGGTATAATGGGGAATCAATGAAATATTTATAACTTTGTTGTTTTTTGTCCAATTTGGATGAAATGTGGAGGGATGGTAGCCTCTACTGAGAGCATGAAACCTGCCAAGTTTCAAGAAGATCAGTACAGGGCTTTGGGGGGAACTGTACCCCAAATTCTTGAAAGCCAAACTGATGTCACGGCTGTGTTACACCACAGGGGGGTCAAAACTGCAGGGGTGGTAGCTCTTACTGAGGCCACAAAGCCTGCCAAGTTTCAAGGAGATAGGCGCAGGGGTTTGGGGGGGGAACTGTACCTCAAGCTGCTGACAAGCAAAACTCATGACATGGGTGACACTGCATGTGCTAAGGCGCAGTGGGGTGACAGCTGCAGGGGTGGTGGCCCCTGCTGTGACACCTGCCAGCTGCGGAGGAGATCGGTGCAGGGGGGCTCTCGGGCCCTGCACCCCTAGCTGCTGAGACACAAAACTCGTGCCATGGGTGCTTGTGCTGGCTGGCCTCACCCCCCTGCTCTGTCCGCTGTGTCCCCGCCATCATGGCAGTGCCCCACCGTGCCGCCACCTCCAGTCCCAATGCTGTATTCACACTCTGTTATATAAAACAACTGAACACAATGTGTTATTTATATATTTACAGTTTTAAAGCAGTTTGGAAGCCTACCAGTGCTTCAGTCATTAGAATAAAATAAATTCTAAATACCTATATATTTTGGGTTTTTTTCTCATGGAAAATCAAGCTATCCCTGCCCCCTTTGCTCACCAGGATGCAGGTTCAGCTGTGGCTGTGTTCTCCCTGCTGCTTTGTACTGCTGAGCAACCCTGATGAGCTGGTGCCCTGCCTCTGTCCCTGCCAGTGTCCCTCATTCCCAACCCCAGTGTGTGAGGAAGTGAGTGGGTGTTTGGGGAACAGGGTGGGTGTGTGGGGAAGAGGGGTGTTGACACAAGTGATGCTTGTGCCTCAACACCCCCCGCCTCCCCCCACCCCCCAGCTGTGGTTGTCTGGACACAGCCAGTGTGTGTACAGTGATTGCGTAGTTTATTTTGCTTTTTCTAAATAAATGTGTATGTATATATGTTACTATTAGAAAAGAGAGGTTGTGTGGGGATGGTAGTGGGTGTGATAGTGGGACATGTCTGTGTCCTATTTTGAACTGTCTTGTGCTTAGTGTACAAATCTTGGGCACAAGCCTGGATAAACCCAAGAGCAGCCTGGTGTATGACATACCACATGTCCTCCAGGCCCCCAAATGGTGCTTGATGTCTCATTGACTAACTGACACTGGGAAGCCATCAGGCCTAATTTGGCACCATCAACTGTTGGCCTGTGCACATGGTACAATGGTCACTCTGCCAAAGGGTCTATAAAAGCGGGTATATGTAGCATGTCCTGGATATACAGATCTTTTTGCGTAATATAAAAGGCATTTTAAAGCCCCCCGTGACAGATCTGAGCAAATACCTTGGTAACATTTCTCCCCTTTTTTTTTAATTAATGCAGGCATGCAAAACGAAGCACAATTAATTTAGATGATGTCAAGCTGTTGGCCAGAAGGAGCAGTTCTTTGGTGAGTTTAAGCCCCTTCTCTTTTCTCACATTTTTCCTTGTAAATCACAGGACTGTTCCTAAAAAGATTTGTATAAAAAGTATGGGTGGTGGAGCTGCCAGTGCTTGCTGTTCAAGTGATTTTTCTTGTGGGTTATGAATTGTGGGTAGCAAATCTCCCAGGCAACATCTTTGGGAGTCTGTTTGCTATCTTTTATTCTGCTCTAGTTCTTGGCATTTGTTCTTCATATTAGTGTTGCAGATTTAGCCATAGCTCAAGCAGCAATGTCCTGGCTAAAGAGAAACTGCTGAGGCTCCAGCTACAGAATGCAATGTCTAATGAGCATGTTACAGCACCTTCAGTCTTAGAAGGAGATTGATTTGTTCTCCTGCTGCCACATTTCTTTATTTCAGCCTCAGGTCAGGAATACTTTGCGTACTCATCAAAGCTGCTCTGTGTCATTCTGTATCAGGAAAGTGGTGCTTATTCTACTGCTAGGAGTAACAAGGAATAGTCAGTAAATATTCTCTCTCATGCTGATTTGTTTCTGTTCCAGCATCCATTCCACTTCAGTCAACTGTTAGACCATTTATACATCCTAGAAAACACGTAGGAAAAGAACTTTAGGAAAAGAACATAAAATCTCCACAGTAGAATGAGTTATGGATTTCATGTAATAAGTTCTGGGAAGTTGACAATGTAAACAGGCAGATGCCTACAGTCTAAACAGATGCTTCTGTTTAAAAATAGTACTTTAGAGCAAGTTCAGACACTTCTGTGAAAGGCTAAAATTAGCAGCTGAGGCAGTCTTATCTGAGTAATTTTTTTTCCCCATCTGTGATCTGGGACACATGACAGCCCATTTCAGAAGAATTGATGAGGGCTGGAGCTGAATTTGGGTTTTTTGTTTTGTGTTGTTTTTGGTCTTTGCTACCACCTGCTGTATAGCTTTCTTTGGTCTGACTTTTCTGTGAGAGAAAACAGGACTCTTGTACCCACTTCATACTGGGCTCACAACTGTGATTGCAACAACTGTGCCTCAACTTCGTTATTACCATCTGTGTTCTTGTGGGACTGGGTACAACATACAAGTGAAGGCCCCAGTCATGTGCTGGCATTTCAGATGTGGGTTATTTCTGCTGATATGCAGTTGGGAATGAATGCTTTAGCCAAAAAATAAAACAGCTGATGACAGGCAGGAGCAGAGGTGGGGGTGCAGATATTTTATTTGAATAAATTAGCCAGGTTTTTTGAGGTGTATAAACTAGCTGAGTCCCTGATAGATAACTGGCTCGTTTTTCTCTTAGGAGAAGTATATAAGCCAGAAGGCAGAAGAGCTGGTATTGAATAATCTGGAACAAAAGGAGAGGAAGAAAAAGAAGTCTGGTACAACAAAGGGAAA